GTCGACGAGCCCGTACGTCTCCTTGAGCTTCTTGAAGTCCGTCACCGTGCCGTGCAGCTCCTCGAGAATCTGCTTGGCCAGCCTCCTCAGCTGCGGGTTGCTCCCCTCGCTCCGGTCCAGATGGGCCTCGAACTCGCCCTCGACGACCCCCCACTCGCGGCCCCAGACGACGAGGCGCATCTCCTCGATGCGCACCTTGCACAGCAGCTTCTGGCTGTCGCCGTCCATGTGCGTGGCCTCGGTGAAGTAGCCGTACGCCTTGACGCAGCCGTGGAAGAGCTGGCCGAGGAAGCCCACGACGCCGACTGTCGTGCCGATTATCTCGGCCATGTTTATTTTGGCTGGGTATTCCCCCTTTTTTTTCCTTTGCTTTGCTTTGTTTTGCCCCCTTTTCCCCCTCCTCCGATCCTCACTCCCAGAGGTCTTCTTTTCAACGCCGGGAGTTCAAGAATGGCCAAGTCCCCTTTTATGGTAGGCGAGAGAAAGATCAAGTCATAGGTCGCCGTACAGTCTGCCACACAGAGAATCGGTTGGTGAGACGATTCCTCTCTACCTACTCACACAACGGCCGTCTTCTTGAGGGACCCCGCAGCACTTCAAGAGTTGTGTATGAGCGCGTGTTATGAAGAGTCCATCCACTCTGGGGAGATATGTCATACCTCCCGAATCGGTGTAATAAAACCTCAAGCAATTATGCCTGAGAAGAAGTGGCCAAGAGTCTCCGGTTAGGCCTTTCTGTAGCAAGTCAGCAAATCCACTGACAAACAACAATCTTGCTGCTTCCACAAGCTGCTAAGCTGAGGGGAGATGCCCCACAAATCAGTTCTGGGCCGGTGTTGTTGTGTTACAGAGCGCCAATAACACATGTTCGAGAGCCAGTACTCCGTCGATGATCAATTGATGTCATTTTAAATCATCATGTTAAACCCACGCATTGTAGGAAGTGCTCCACTCATAGGTACTCTTCAGTTTGATGTCTTATTTCGTCTGTCCCCCAGTTGACACCTATTCAGCCTGAACATATAAGTCGCCATGCTTAGGAATTCAAAACTGTCAATCAGGAATATGTGCAGAAAAGGCAAGTGGGATGCTGTCATTGGAACAGTTTTGTCAACATATCTTCCTCCGAGTGTCTCGTCACTTATTATCAGCGGCCATGTTATGTTGAAGTTCGAATAAAAATAAGTAAATAAGAAGAAAAAAATAAATAAGGTTATCCATTCCCTAGAGCTATCCCCCCTGGAATCGCTATAATGTGTAGAAAAGGTCTAAATCAACTCCAATTTTGCAAAGACTAAAGTCTGGTCGTTTTACCCACACAGAAATCCTGCGAAAAGATCCATACTCCAAAAAAAAGGTCAAGGTAAGATCTCGGAACCATCATGGACGTCCATAATGGGGAATCACCGGTCCCCAAATCATGTGGCTGTCATGTCGTTTACAAAGAAGGGTCTTAGTAGACCTTCTTCTTCTCGTCAATGCTGAACTGGCCAGGGCCGCTGTTGACCAGCAGGAGGAGGCCGCCAACAATGGAGAGAACCTGGAAGAAATCGTACTTGGCGAAATCCTTGTGGGGATGCTTCTCGTGGAGCTATAGAGGGAAAGGTCAGTCATTGCCTTATTATTTACCTTCGCTAATGCTCGTTTCGGAATTAAACTTACAGTCCAGAAGTTGTTGACCAGCAAGTTGAAGATGCTAAGGATGACAACGAGGAGAGTGGCGCTGAACTTGGCCTTGAAACCAACAACGACCATGATGCAGGCACCAGCACCAATGATGGAGACCAGGACACGGCCAATCGTCCACTGACCACTGAAGACAAAACCGACAAAGAGGAAGATGAGGAGGACACGTCCAGCGAGCTGGAAGTACATCTTCCTGTCCTTCTCATCGATCGAGGGGAGACCGGCGAAAGCCTTGGTCTTGCGCACCCACGAGTCAGACAGGACCATCAGGAGACCACCAATGACTGAAAGGTTTCGGAGGAAGAAGTTCAAGTCGAAGATGAGACCGTATCCGAGGGCCTGGGTGACGACGACGGCCATCAGACCGGCCACGGCATAATCGGAGTGCTTCTTGATGATAACGAGAACGGAGCAGGAGGCCATGACGGTCATGTTTCCAATGAGGAAGAGGTGTGTAAGTCCGGAGGGAACTGTAATTCACCATTGGTCAGTCTCCGCACACTGCTTGGTATGATCGCGTCAAGCCGGCTTCTGGGGCTGGGAAGGATATCTTACTGTGTCGGTATTCGTTAAGGTAGGTTAGCTGGTCAGTCCATTGGGTGATGATACGGAGAGTATCCTCGAGGAAGGTCACGACAATCAAGAAGCGACCAATGGCAGGAAGGTAACTATATCGGACTCTTTGTCAATTCGCTATCCACAAATACGCGGGGGTCCGTCAATTGGGCCGACTCACGGCTTCACAGGCTCGCTAACTGTGTCGAGGAAGTCCTCAACCTTGCTTGTGTATGGGCGGAGCTGGTCGAGGAAGCTTCCAGCGGGCTCCTGGCTGGGAGCGGCTCCGTACGAGGGAGGTCCGGATTGGAAGCCATAGCTTGCGGGGCCACGTTGCGACATGGTTGTGTGGTGTTGTTGTGTTGTTTATATGAAAATAGGTACGTGTACGTATGTTCTGTGTGAATTCCCAACCTGCGGGACTGCGATTGGGTCGTATTGACTAATCTGAGAAGGCTGTAGCAGCTGCTTCAGGCCGGCCTGATTGTGTTCCGGGTTGCACGGTGACGCGGGACGACGGGCGGCGATCAACGAGGGCGCTTCAGCTGGGGGGTTACTTGCTGGCAAGTCGAATGAGCAAGGAAGAAAGAAGAGGAGAAAAGAAAAGAAATAGAGCTTCGAACGGCGCTCGGGGGGGACGAGAGGGGGTTCTTGAGCAGAAATGGAGGTCGGGTTCCGAGAAGGAAGGGAGGAAAAGTGTGATCAATCGAGTCTGAGATCGAGTGACCCTCTTAGATGGAATCGAGTGCTTTGTAGGTAACTGTGTCCTTTCAGAAATCCCGTGATGGATGCAGGGCCGAGGTCTCCACTTTTTCTTGCTCTGCAGGTGCGGTGCACATTAAAATAAGTGGTGCTGGTGCTAAAGGAAGGAAGGGAGGTCGCAGTAGGTCTGATATCAACCTACAATCCTCGTTATTTTAGTGCCTTACCTCACTATAGGTCTCCATTCTACAGTACCACACCTGCGCACGCTTTTTCTTACTACGTATGGATGACATGGACTCCGCTGGCCTCACGCAAATAGATAGAATCTTATGTACTGCCTAGGCCCAGGATGTACTAGGCCCCTCCCAACCCCCAACCTACGGCTGGCTGTACATTCTGCTTGCTTACCACAGTTTTTCCTCAATGCGACCTCCAAAAAGCATCACCTCCACTACGGCAGTATTAGGTTCGTCGCAATCCTGCCAATTGGAGCCTCGATGCTCTTTGTCCTACCTACACGAAACGCATACTTCGTCCTAGAAAGCTACTTCGGCTTGCGCGCGGAGGTCGGTACGTTTGCGGCAGTCGGAACCAAGATCGCACGTACTATGGCCCTCGAGTGATTGGTTGGTACGCAGAAGGTAGGATTCTTATTATTACCTCCACAGGCCCTGCTCCGGACGCCCAGAATGGACCTGTCAGTCTGTGGGTTCGTCAACCTGGGCTGTAACCGGCTAAGATGACCTCAGTCTGGATGGTGGATGCTTACTCTCCCTCCATGGATTCCTGGCAAGCGCTAGCATAAGAGGGACAGATCCTTCAGATGCACGACTCTGGCGGTATTACTGTGAAGGCTACTTCTCTATGTCCGCATTTCACTGCGTAACTCCGTCTACCCAAGGCGCCCGGCATGTACCTGCATTGCGGCAGTGGCCGCCAGGGTGGATTGCGTGCCCTAAATAGAGCACCTGGAGGACACCTACCTAATAATAGAACTTTACAGGGCTCGCCCCGAACCTCGCTCGCCCTGAACCTCCGGCCAGGTGCAATTTTTAGCACACATGAGCCACTAGCACTCCGCAAGCCACATCTTCTGGCCGGAAATTTGTGGAGAGGCCATCACCAACACACACTCACACTGATCACCGTGGCATATGGATGTCTTGAGTCTTCCTTAAGCGTATGTGGGTTAAAGGCCAAGTGGGATCCAAGAAATAGTGCCCATACACAGGAGACTCGCCAGAAGCATACCAGCTTTCCCCCGTGCCATAGCTGTCAAAATCCTCATCCAATCCTCCTCACCAAATTAAGGGTATTCATTTTGCGTATAGCAGACACCCCACAACTCGATTAATCGGCAATAATAAGGGCGTTCAGCTAAGGCAAATGGTTCTTGAATATTTGAGCCGAGTTCTCGTTCGCTCAGATTTCTCCAATTACTAAGCCCATAGCGCAGAATCGAGCGCTAATGTCAAATCCTAGCCTTAAGAGCACCATTTGCAGCTGTAGAGTAGAATACGGCAGAAATTACGAAAAGAAGCTGTTGTTAACTAGGTAGGTACAATCTGTTTGGACATCATCAGGTAGCATGTTAATCCCATCAACGGACTCTCGCATATTGTGAGGGAGGAATCATGAGCCAACCTCATGCTACCAAATAGGGTTTCATTGGGATCCCATCAACGAAACTGTACAAGGACTTTGGTTGTGAAAGGTATCATTGTGTCCCACAGTTCCTATCGGCTTGAGTTGAGCCTTGAGGCAGTGCTGTGATCCTGTTCTTCTCACTTTCATTTTCGTAATTGATCTCCATATTCGCATGAGGCCTATGGTTGCAGCCTGAGTCCGGTCTCATGGCTAAACTATTCCCATGTTGCAACTTGGCAGATATGCCCAAATAACCTCAGAGTATGCCTTACCGCGAAAATCTTTAGATCCATTCATCCCACCTAGAAGCCTACATCAGTGCATGACTTGTCAGCATAAGATTAAACCTCCCGGTTTTCATGTGTTATGCGTTTGCCTACATTCTACTTCCTTTTCCACAAGCCACTATGAGCCAGAGCTCCTCGGAAGAAAGATCGATGATGTACACAAACAACCGCCAGCAATCCCCCGAAGAAGGCGCACCTTTGATGGAGCCTTCGAGCATTCCGCTGAATGTTCTCATCACTCAACATCGTAGGCCACCGAAAGAAGTCAACAGGAGAAGCGAAGAAAGTGGTCTAATCCAGTCAATTCCCCCGATTCTAAACGACATGTCGAGCTACGACTGCGAACAGCAGCTTCTAGAGTATAATCCCGCCCAGACATCATCTACATCATCTAAAGCCAATGGTGCTCGTCATAAATCTGGACAGCAGCCCGGCCCTGGTTGGCAAACTGGTTGGAGAGGTGGTCTGAGCATAGCTGCCGGGTTGACGCTCCTTATTTTGATCAGCAACATTACAATACTTGGGGTCTTTTCATCACCGGCTTATCGAAGAGACTATAGTTCTACTACTGCCCCAATTCGCACGGGAGAATGTGACGATATCAAGAAATTAAATATCGGCATCCATCTTCTTATCAATATCGCAAGTACTATCCTGCTTGGGGCAAGCAACTATTGTATGCAGACCATCAGTGCTCCCACACGCCATGATATCGACAGGGTCCATGCTAGTGGTAAATGGCTACGAATCGGTGTGCCCAGCCTTCGGAATCTGAGGTTCATTGGAAAGAAGAGGGTCTTCATTTGGCTGTGTCTGGCTGCCACATCTCTTCCCCTTCACCTGGTGTGAGCATCTCACTTCGTTTATTTTTAACATTTTCAATTCCAGGTCTAACTTCTGACATGGTTAGTTATAACTCGGTGTTCTTCGTGTCAACCAGCTACAATAGTTACCGGATGTACATCGCCGACGCATCCTTTGCAACCGGGGCGCCTTACAACGAAGATATCTTCAATGTCACTCAAGAAATGCGGACGCAACTCATAAACGGCACACGATATCAAGTCTTATCCAACAGCGACTGCATCGAAGCTTATGCCCAAGATTTAATACAAGACAGGGGGAACGTGATATTGGTTGTAGAGCCACCACCACAGGACTACAGTGTCTTCCAAACGTATGATTCACCACACGTCTGTGCGGACCCATCCACTACATCCTTATACGCATCCCATGACTGCAAGTATAGCGACGATGTTCAATTCAACGATGGATTCTGCACCAAGGCCGCGTGGAAGGGGCGGATGCACGACAACAACTGGGAAGTGGCCGGGGTGAAAGTGAAATATTGCCTAAGCGAACAGACGCCCAGCCGCTGCTGGCTTCACATCGCCACGAACCTCGTCGCTGTGGTCGTTGCTTTCAACTTGGCCAAGCTGATCCTCATTACCTATATCCTTTTCGGCAACTGGGTTGACTGGGACCCTTTGGTAACTATCGGCGATGCTATTGCATCCTTCCTCAACCGACCCGACCCGAAGACAAGGGGGATGTGTCTATTAGCGACTGAGGAGATTTTAGAATTTTGGGGGGATAAACGCCCACCACCCCAAGAGTATCAGACGCGGAGGTACCATTGGGTTTGGGTGGTAAGCACACGCATCTTGGTTGTTACGATCTGCTTGTAAGTTCATCCGGCTACCTAGTTATTGGCACTATGTCTTTCACGCAGCTGACATCTCCCCACAGGATTGCAGCCGCATTGACCATTCTAATTTTCTACTTGATTCAGGCTATCGGCAACTTGCCTTACTCCTCCGCAGGGGACATCTGGTCGTTGGGTGTTGGCAAAATCAGTCCATACACCCTCATAACTACATGGGACGTTCCCTCTGCAGGCGATGCGGCAGTCGTTTGCCTTATTCTCCTTACCAACGTACCGCAAGCCTTGTTCTCGTTTCTATACCTTATATTAAATGGTATCGTAACTGCTATGCTAACTACACGGGAATGGACCAACTACGCGGATTATGTTCCCAAAGCCCTCCGTGTCTCTTTTCCAAAGAGAGGACAGCGATCTACGTTCTTCTTGGCGCTGCCATATCGGTACAGCCTACCATTAATGATCAGTTCAATGTTGATGCACTTGCTCATTTCACAGAGCTTTTTCATGGTGCAAATGGTTGAGATTCGCACGTGGGAGTCGCAAGAGGATCAAGAGGATATCGAACTAACGGACATCACATCTACGGCCGGGTATTCTCCCCTAGGCATGATATTAACTCTCTTCGTCCTGGTGATAGTCTCTTCCACAATAGTGAGGTTGGGGAGGTTCACATTCAAGGAAGGCATGCCATTAAGCGGAAGCTCCAGCGTAGGTATCGCAGCCGCATGCCATGTGTGCGAGAAAACATCAAGCCGGAGACCGGTGACATGGGGCGTGGTGGTTCCGGCCAACCACGCTCCAGATGGTGTCGGACATTGCTCCTTCTCCAATAAACGGGTAGAGCTACCAGAGCAAGGGAGTCGGTATGCTTGAAAGTATTATGCTGCCATGGTGAGGAGTTGGATATTCATCTGATGTTGGGATAAAGCAGCTCGAGGCGCGTGTAGAAATAACATAGCTCCCCGCGGCACATATGATGTTACCAACTACCAAGTGATAAGATAGAATAAAGTATCCCTAGTTGCCAAACCTTTTAATGTTGGTTAGTTATCCTCCTTCTGATGTGTGTGGTTATCTTCGCTAATCCTTACCCGTACATTGACCATGTTTTAACCTCCCTTCTCTCTCGCTCGGGGGAACATGTATATGTCCTTTGCTGTCTGTCCTGGTGTTCTATTTCTTCCAGTCAACCTTTCACTTTTCATTACATTTCGCCTTCGCTTGTCGGCTGTTTATGATTGATTTTCCATGCATGAGGGGCTCGCTGGTTCTATCTCATGGTGACTTTCATTGCATGCTGTCGGTGTTGTCGGACTACGAATTTGTTTTTTGTCTATGAAAGAACAGTAAACCCAAGAAGCTTCTTTACGGATCCACACCGAGTATGGGGAGTTGACAACGTTCCATCAACCAAGAGTGCATCACTGGACGTTCATAGTTTACCAAAAATGTATTATCCTACTCTATCATCATCGCAGGCTAATCCAACAGTGGGCCTATGAAACATCATCGAGAATCATCAAACCTCCAACATCGTCGTACCCGACTCTGCCCTCGTTCACCGCATCCTGCATAACACTCCGAAGAACAATTTTCTCTCCGGTGACAGGATCCCACTCCCAGCCTTCTCGCATCCACATCCATCTCAAACACGCTCGCAGCTCCTTGTCGTCGGGCCGTACTCTCATCCACTCTGGTTGAAACTCCGGCTCCCTGCCCTTCCCATTCCAATCCTCGGCGCGTCCCAGGAGCACATCTCGGCAGAAGATTCGCCAGCTGTCAATGGCATACTTGCCCTGAGTCATGTGCCCGATCTCCCAGGCGTCTGCATCGTCCTCGTCATCGTTGGGTGTCAACATCCCCGTCTCCATACATTCGGCAAGGCTCCCATGGCTGAAATCCGGCTCCTCTCTGCGGTCATAGTTCCTCACCCTGTAGACCTTTCCCGCTCGGGGTGGGTCTTCGATGAAAGCTCTCGAGTATCTCTGTAAGAATCTCAGCCGGTGGGTAGATAGACCCAGGTGGCGGATCATATCGAGTATATCTGTGGCGTTTGATTCATCTCCCAGGTCTGTCGGCGTAGGAAAGCGCTCCTTGATCGCGTAGAATACCGGTATAGCAGCAGTACCTTTTGTACGTATCAGGAATGTGACAGCCACAAGGAGCCAGAAAGGTTCGTGGGCCAGCTTCTCCTGTATGAGGCCGAAGCAAGGTGAGGTCAGGGGCGGGAACGGCACGCAAGAAACCATGCCTGCTTTAGGTCTTCCTGGTGTATGTTCCTTTTGGGGTGATTCTGAGGGGGTGAAGTATGGCGAGGCATAATTGGCTCTCCTGCGTCGTTCCAGTGAACTCTTGGTTGGGCTTCGTTCGGGGGAAGCTTTTGGGCCAGGAACTGAGGCCTGGCATGCAGTAGGCTGTGTAACAGGACCATGTGGTGAGAAGAGCAAGTTTGACGATAGGGATGTAGACATGGACGGATCAAGATTCGCTTGCGGCGGTGAAACATTGGCGGTGGCGTCTCTCACGGAAGAGATCCGATCTTGTGTTCCCCCAAGCCAATAATGGGATGTGGTAGCCTTGCAGGCTCGTCTCCTAGGTGTTGCAACTTGCGCACGCAGGGCATGGCGCTCAGGGGATGCCGTGATATTCGCCTCCTGGTCCTCATGCAGCTCAAGGGATTTAGCCACGGCAATGAGACGATCCGTTTCTTGCCATGATTGCGCTTCGGATTCGGTTTCATCTGGGCTCTTAGAAGCCAAGTGTTCTAGTCTTTTCGCCAGTGCAATTAAGCGATCTGTTTCCTGCCATGGCCGCGGATCAGGAGGGGCAATCACACGGTTCAGACGGAAGATCTCCCAGATAAATGTTAGCAGGTCATTCCCGTCAAGGCTTTCGGGGTTGACATCTCGCGATTGCTTCATTGAGCTCGCACAGTCGATGAGAGATGCCCAATCATCTGCCCAAGCCCCCAAGCTCTGGGTGAAGAGCTCGGAGTAGTCATTGTGATGCGATGTTTGAATATCGACTCCTCGGAACACAAAATCCGCAAACTCTTCGTCAAAGTCTCCAAAGACGCAGAGCAAGTCACGACCGGTGCGATGCCGGCTGCGGGATATGCTTTCGCCCATGTGTTTTGATCAGGGATGGTATATCATGGTTGATGTTTCAAGTTGAGACGAAGGTGAGCCGGCTCAATTTTTGTGGTTGGTTACACAAACGTGTTTCGAGTCTGGATTTCTCACTCGTAGCACTTCATCTGATATGTGGCCGTGACATTTAGGCCTCGTGGTCTGCACATATATGAATGTCTTAATTCGATGAAAGGTCAAGACAGCGTGAAGTATCTAAGTGAGGATTTCAGTGACTTGTAGCCATCCAATTGTTTGGTGCCCCTGTTGCTTTCAATGCCAGTGGCTTCATCCCCTCTGGGTTAGCGAGGCTTGTTAAGCAATGGCGCTATCTGGGCCACGTGCCCGCCTAGCAGGCAGCTGTGGGATTTGAACACAACTGCAGCAACAAAACATGGGAGATTATCCTGCCTACCTATTACTCACTTAAGAAACTGATTACATTTTACTATCAAGTCTATCATCATCAGTCTGGAACCTCTTATTTAATGGAAGTTCCTATTTGGCACATACAACTATGGTGCTTGAAACCCGTGCTCTAGGTTAGCAGTTAGGTTTTCGGTCTTTTTTTTCTTCGGTCTTTTTTTCTCGGGCAAGGCGCTTGGCGCACTGTCCGCTCCGTTTATTAGGGGCCACGCACTAGCTGGCGCCACCAATATTTAGCGGTCGGACCTCAGCAATAGTGACGGAACTCTGAGGTTGTATGACGATAAACTGCCTCGACGCGCTTTCCGATCTATCCTATCAGGCCTGGGATGTATGCAGAGTGTGCCTCAGTGCCGGCTCACCCATTCTGGTTAGTAACGGGGAGGAGACGATGCTCCCCTCAAATTGGCCCCAGATATGATAATGCCGAGCATACAAGGCTTGGACGGGGATATTTCTTCGGTGAAGAACTGTCCTACAACAAAACACCATGGGGCGAAAACGAGGTAACGATATTAGAATTTCTTTTGCTGCTAGTCTCAATTGCATGTCTTAATTGTATCTGCCTTCGTTCGCACCACTTGCCATCCGTCGAGGCGCACCTGTGTATGCAAGCATGACAGGAAAGCAAGGGTCTGGCTTCAGGCATTGGGTCGCGTGACGGTAGATACCAACTGCTAGCCGGAGAGTTTCGGTGACCCATCTGATGATTTGATTGCCCATCACCACGTCAATGGGCATCCATCCCCGCTGGCTGGGGCTATGCCTTATCGTTTGAGATGTGAACCAATGTCTAGATGCAGCCCCGAGTCGACTGCAAGTGATGCTAGCCTCGCCCTTGATCGCATCTGACGCGCCACGGCAGCCGGGAGCAAACGCCCCTACAATTCACCACGCTTTCCGGTGCTGGCCGTGCACGCCGAAACACACATTGGGATAGGCGGCGACCCAGTTCTCAAATCACGTGCTCCGACTAAGTCCATGTACGGAGTGGCATCACTCATCTCAGGACCCACCTCTCCTTCCCCGTTTGCATTTGTGAGTGTGTTAGCCTGAGGTACGGACAAGTACGTACCGTGTTGGGAGTCGCAGCACGTCCCCGGTTCTACCACCTTCGCCGCCCTGTCTCTCTCTCCAACCATCCTCCTCTAACCTCCTCCACCGACCATCTAACGCCTGGCGTTATCAATCTCCTATCGATCCTCGATTCGATACTCGTCTCAGAAAACGATCATCAAGATATGAGTAGTCGCGGTGGTAAACTAGCACCAGAAGTGAACCGGTGAGTCGCTCCCTCGAGTTCTTCTGTCGTCGTCCGGTCGCCAAGTTTCCTCGACGTTGAATTACGGTGTTACGGTTCGCATCTCGGATTGGACCGAAATGGCCTCGGACATGTTCGCATCGTCCCTCGACACACGTACACGACCTTCAATCGACCTCTCATTCATATTATTATTGTCGCTGTGTTTTTTTTTGCCTTTGATGTCATATGCTAACTTTAAATCCTAGAGCTCTGTTCGTGAAGAACCTGAGGTACAATTGAAACATGGCGTTCTTGACCGACCGACCCCGATGCTGACATCAATCCTATAGCTACAACGTAACTCCAGAAGAGCTCTTCGACCTCTTCGGAAAGTTTGGCCCTATTCGGTACTATTTCCCCCATCGGCACGCTCGCTTGCGCGCGTGTCTAATTTCTCTTCGTTTGGCCGACACTGACTCTCTCCTAGCCAAGTCCGACAGGGAATCGCGAACAACACCAAGGGCACCGCCTTCGTCGTCTACGAGGATGTAATGGATGCGAAGCAAGCTTGCGACAAGCTGAATGGTTTTAACTTTCAAAGCCGTTACCTAGTTGGTATGATCCATGCTCTTTTTTCTCACCTACTTTTGCCAATCGCGCTCACTAATTTTTTCCTCACAGTTCTCTACCACCAACCAGAGAAGATGGCCAAGTCAAAAGAGGACCTCGCCGCCCGCCGCGAATCTTTAGCTCAGCTCAAGCAACAGCATGGCATCGATTGACAATCCGACCGGCCTGTGGACAACCTGCACAGGAAGAAGGTGCATTCTTCCTCGCCTGCAGGCCGGTCTTCCGTATCACCTAAATCTCTGTCGCCCGATATCAAGACGATTCTGCGAACAGAGAAATCGAGGTCCGGCACCGCCTCAGACGATCACGCCCGCCCCCGAGGGGTTCGCTTCGTGGAAGGACAGCGTCCTAGATTGCAAGCCGTGGCGTGATACGATGTATTCTGTACCAGTAACGACCATGTAACGCGACATCCATCAAAATGGACAGGCACTGGAGGATTCGTT